AGGGTGAACAAATAACAAGATAGTACACGTTTTTGCTGTGCAAGCTGTGGCAGAGGTTCATGAATGAACTCGACTGAGACTTTCGTCCTTGCCGTCATTGAAATGAACAGCACACGCGGTCGCAGCTGGAAAACAGTCTAAATGTACTCCTGACGTCTGCCATGTGGGCCCACTGCGCCTTGTTAATGTTGTGTCTTCCCATGTAGACAGGCAAACGTGTATGTTATGTATATAATACACAGTTGTACATGTATGACGTATATATGTGTGGATGTGTATTGTGCATATCAGTCCCCTCCCTAACAACACTCACTAGGTACTAGAATACCGGTTTTAGTGCAAATAACATTTCTTAGCCAACATAACTGACACAAGGAAGACAGACCACAATTATAACCGATACTGCTCTCAGCAGGTTAAACTACGACCATCTCTAGCTTTTTCCTGGAGCTCGGCCGTGACTGGACTTGGTCGATTTTTTGTTTTTAAATAAATGAGTGGATAAATGTTACTGTTACTGCTGCGGTTATTGCTTAAGAATGAACTCGGCTGTAAGTTGCTAACTCTTGTACTTAGGCCACCTGAGACCAGCTGGGACAAAACCCTGGCTTAATCTTTTTTGGAAGTTATAATTAGGGCACACGAGACGACTAATCCAAGCAGTGTGCCCCTTAGTGCTGTGTGGATAGGAAAATTGCTTGCAAAAATACCAGTCAGAGTTTTTATACAACTCCTCCTTTTATTGTGCACCAGGTTACTTAAAGTAACACATTCTGATTATGTATCCTGAAATATACACATATTTCTATTTTCCACCCATGCGTTTCAATCAATACGTAACAGATGTAACCGGTGTTTGAAGAAATTTGCTCCCATGACAGCTCGCCTTTGTAAGCTTTTCGAATCGAACTGATATTTTCATAACAATAGGGGCCTGTAATTGTTCTCCTAAGGCCATGGGGACAAATCTGCACACATATTATTTCCTTCAAAAATGACTTTGACTCCCAGTTCCACCCAGCCTTTAATGGGTACCAGCTAAAGTACCGGGAAGTAAAGGCGGCTGGTGTGACGATGACGAAGCCACCCATCGATCGCAGAAAAGTTAATCAAACGCAAGGCCAGCAGCATATGCCCGCTGCGCTACTGGCGTTAAAAAAAGCTCTTAACTTTGTTACCCACCCTTGTATTAATCGGCCCATGCCTCTTTGAAAGGCTCTTAACTTTGTTATCCACCTTTGTACTGATCGATCGATGCCTCTTTAAAAGGCTCCTAACTTTGTTATCCACATTTGTACTGATAGGTCCATGCCTCTTTAAAGGGCTCCTAACTTTGTTATCCATCTTTGTACTGATCGATCGATGCCTCTTTAAAGGGTTCTTAACTTTGTTATCCACCTTTGTACTGATCGATCGATGCCTCTTTAAAGGGCTCCTAACTTTGTTATCCATCTTTGTACTGATGGGTCCATGCCTCTTTAAAAGGCTCTTAACTTTGTTATTCACTTTTGTACTGATAGGTCCATGCCTCTTTAAAGGGCTTCTAACTTTGTTATCAATCTTTGTTCTGATTGATCAATGTCTCTTCTTTCAAGTGCTGCACCAGTCTCCCTCCGACTTTCCTTGACCAGTTTTCGTTATTGTTAATTACCAAGCGACAGTATTTAGAGTTTGTAACATTTTCAATTTCTGCTTCCTCAATGTTAATTTTGTCCTGTGTAATTATGCCTGCGGTCATTATTTTATTTTTTTTAGTTCAGATGAGATCGTTATCATAATATCGTGCATCATCTCAGTGTCCCACAATATTTACAGTTATAGTCCTTTCGCGTTGTTTGAGAGAGGTCCACTCATCTACAAACCACGAACTGGGTTTCGCTATTCATGACTGGAGAGAGCAGACATTGTCAACGCTAACACGATTGCATTACCTCGGAGCAAGGCCCGGTGAAACAAGTAGGTGCCCTTTTTAAGCACTATAGGAGATATTTTAATACAAATTCTTATAAGAACAGACAGTAGAGGTACGTAGAGGTGGCTGCTGCATCGGAGGACTGAGCATACATGGGAATGTCTAATGTTTTGACAAGCTTGGGAAAGATCGCATGAGAATAAACGACTAAAGAATCATCACTTTCAGAACACAGTAGAGAAATTCATGGAACAACATTGTGGTCAGAACATTGTAGCTCAGCGGACTATTCCTCGCACACAATATACCGTGTGTCCGTAAAGTCATGGTACACTTCATACGGTGAAGGACGTCAATGGCACACCATGACTTTACGTAGACAGTGTAGTTACTGACCGAGGAGAGATTCATGGGGCAGTGTTGCAACATTTTGTACGAAGTTTTCGAGGCTGGAATGGAATCTGCTGCAACTTTTTTGACGCAGAATGTCGTAGAAGATGGTTACAACAGCGTTCCATACAACATGCTCATCAGTTTGTTGTTGGACATGCTCACAGACAAAAAATGGCTCACTTGCAGTAGCGGTTTTTTAAAGAATAGTGTGGCTGTGATGTGGTCAAGCCACGTGGGGAGGAATAATTTGCGATCCAGTGCCCGTTGGCTGCCACTGGCTATTGTCATGAAAACTATTACTAAAAACTAAAATTACAAACTTTCATTAAGGCGAACATATACATATTAAAGGGAATTAGGTAGCATTATAGAATAACTCATGTTGAGATTTGGGAGAGGCGTAACCACATTCCAGTGAATCATCAAGTGAAAACAAAAAGACAGTGGTGTTGAATCGGACAGGCGTTGAGAAAACTATAATTAGAATGTCTTTGCAATGAAACGCACATGGACCAGAAATAGAGACAGACCGAAACCTAATGCAGACGGGAGCTAGAGGGTGAAGTTAAAAGACAGGGAAGACATGGGGAGGGGGGACGTGGGGAAAGAGCCTCATGCAATAGCGAAGGCTTGAACCACATGCTAAGAGTTGACTGAGAGCCCATACTTCAATAGGGGACAACGGACAGTGTCATACAGCAAAGAAAGGGCCTTCTCTGTCAGGGCCTAGTGCTAAACACCATAGAGTACATCTGGCCTCCCCACTAAGAGCACCACTGTATAATGCAAACTAATCAGGTGATAGTACGCGTCTTACTCTCCTCTTTATGTTCTGAAATTTTCCCAGTTTTTTTTTTTTTTTTTTTTTTTTTTTTTTAATTTTTTTAAAAGCTGCTATCTGCTGCCAATATATGTTCTTTATAATTCGTAAATCTTTTCCATCAATGTTTAACTTTTCCAATAGAATGATTAGTCATCATTTTTCGGCCATGTTATGAGAAGAGGGAAAATAGAACATGTTGTGACCACTGGAAAGATCTGTGGAAGGAGGGATAGAGGAAGACAACGAGAGAAGATGCTTGTTGCATGGCACGGAGGTGTGTCGGCACACGAACTGATACATGCTGCAGGAGTTCGCGGATTATGGAGAGGCATGATCGCCCACGCCAGTCGGCAAGGCACCTGATGATGATGAATAGAATGATTACTTCTTTATGTTTCAGCCAATCACATGCTTTCGTATAGTCAAGGAAACGTCGTTAGATCGTCTTTTAATTCTATAGCTTTTTCTGAACGAGTTCTGAGGAATTATTTGGCATTGTTTATACCTTTTCCTTCCACAAATCCACATTGTTCTTCACTAATTTCTGGTTTAATCTTTAACAAATCATCATCATCAGGTGTGTTGCCGACTGGCGGGGGCGATCTTGTCTCTCCACATTCTGCGATCTCCTGCAGCATGTATCAGTTCGTGTACTGACACACCTCCTTGCCATGTAACAGGACTGTCAAGAATTTTCTCTCGTTTTCTACCTCTATCCCTCCTTCCACAGATCTTTTCAGTGGTCACAACATGTTCTATTTTCCCTCTTCTCATAACATGGCCGAAAAATTATGACAGTCTCCTTCTGATGTCTGTGATAAGTTGTCTTCGGGTTTCGCCTCTTTCAAAACCTCTAGGTTGCTTTGTTGTTGTTGTTGCTGCCTAAGGTATTTGAAGCATTCTTCTGTAAAACCACATCTCTGAGGCCTTAAGAAATTGTTTGGCCGGCCTATCGATTGTCTATCTATGTAGAAAGCAAGAATTATGTTTTTCTAACCTTCAGTGAAAGAAATATATTGCATCTTCATTTTATAAAATGCAGTTCTAGCCTGTCATATTTTGTTTCTGATCTCAGTTATGCATCTTCCATCTTATGTTATTCATGTGCCCAGACACTTAAATTACTGTACTTGTCGTAAAATAACACCATTTGCATTATCATACCAAGACACCATTAACATAACATGCGAGTAGGTAAAACCGGACGCAGATCCAATATTTAGGCATTTCTCGTTTCACATTCTGCATCGCTGTTGGATACGCATAAAGAAAGAATGCAACCCTGTTGTATTCCCATTTGTTCAAACGAAACATAGGCGGTGACGCAGGATGAAAGCTTAAAGAGAAGACATGCAGATAATCATTATCATCATCATTATCATCATCATCATCATTATTATCGTCATCATCACCTTCAAGTGCCTCTCCAAAATCTGCAATTTTCAACAGCGTGTATACTGTATCAGATCTTGTGTTGACATCCCTCTATGCAATGACAGAAGACTGTCAAGAAATTTTTCGCGTTAACTGCCTCTATATCATTTTCCAGTGGTCACAATACGTTCCAGTTTTCTTCTGCTCCTAACATTTAAAAAAAAAAATTATGACGTTCTCGTTCTGATGTTTGCGACAAGTTGTCTTCGAGCCGCTGCCTCTTAAAACATCTGGGATAAATCTTTAGTGTACAAAAAATCGACCCGACACCGGTTTGTGTACTCTAGGAACGCACCGTTTCAATAGCGATGTCTTACACAGGGCAGCCGGGTCTACAACACAAGTATAAAACATGATGTGGATCGAAGTGTGTCCACAGTCGTCTCTCCACACCACCCACACAGCAGTCAGGGATCTAGCACACACAAGCTTGTGAACATGGATAGTTCCCAGGCTGGTGCAGTCGTCGACGATCCTCTGAGACGCCGTCACCGACCGCTGGACGAAGCAGACGTGAATGTCGCCGGGCATCATCTTGATGGGCAGCAACAACAACAACCACAACATGTCTTTCTCCAAACTCCACATCTCCCGCCGGCTGCTGCTGGCATGCCCCGACGTGACCGAGCCACCAACTTCCATCGGGCAGCAAAGCCTAGAGCAGCTTTTGCTTATGCAGCGATCGGTATTTGTTACCTTCTCATGGGTATTTTTGTCCACCAACGGACGAATTCGTACCCGGAGCCCAAGAACAGCGACAACTCCTTGCCCAGTGAGTTCAGAGAGAAAAATGCCAGACGTTACCTGGAGCAGATCACCAGCTTTGGTCCCCGTGTGTCCGGTAGCGAAGCTCACGTCAAAGCTGAACAATACATACTGGAAGTGATTCAGGAAATCAACGCCAACAAACTGTCCCACAATGAAGTGGAGGTTTCCATTCAGACCGTCAGTGGTGGGTTGACTGTGGATTTTGTCAGTGCCGGGATGGGGGAGTTTTCTAGTGTCTATCAGAATTTGAAGAATGTCATAGTCAAAGTGGCTCCTCCCCAGGGTGCCAACAGTAGTCTGCTGGTCAACTGTCATTATGACACTGTCATTGATAGTCCAGGTAAATATGTTCTCATTCATTTGTTCAGACCTCTCCATCTTCTTTCTCTTCTTGCTGTTTCAGTCTTTGTCTTCTCCTTATTATTCTCGGTATTTTTATCCATCTTCCTTATCTTCTGGATCAGTCTTCTCATCTTCCTCTCCCTCCTCTTTCTCTTCATGTTTTCATCTTCACTGTACTTCTTATCTTTCTCCTATTGATGGAGAGCTTCTGGTCAGTGTGGCAGATAGGGTGGTTTACTGTTTTAATTGTGGCAAGTTTTGCTTCTAACCACAGTTAGCTTAATTTCCCCACATATTTGGACTGAAAGAATATAGTTCCTTCACCAAGCTACTAAGTTAATTGCATGGCACAACACTGTGAGCAGTAAATTTCATTTGGAATGCTTTTCGACCACTCCTAACCTGGTTTGAGTTGTTAACTACAGATTTGGAAAATGGCAAATGACCTGTTGCCAGAGAATTTGTGGTATTTTATGCAATTAATTGCTTGTGTAACTACTGATCTGTTGTAATTGCTGCTTCCATTAATGATGAACTGCATTTCCAGTATCGAACCATTTGCTTTATGCATTTAATTCATAAACTGAAAAAGTGAATAGCCATACAAGTCAGCTAAAACCCACAGTTTTTGAAAGAATCATTACAGTTATATTTTATAACTTCCAATGGCATAATCATTAACTAAAAGTTTTCACATACAAATCAAAGATTGTCCCAGGAAAGCCAGCCTGGGAACCAAATAATGGAACTGTCCCACCCAACATTGCTGTACATGATTATATCAGTTTAATATCTACTGTCTACAGGTAGAACACCCAAGCTGATGGTTATCACACAGCTGCTTGTACTTGTTCTGATATCAGTTTGATATCTACTGTATACAGGTAGAACAGTCAAGCTGATGGTTATCACACAGCTGCTTGTACTTGCTCTGATATCAGTTTGATATCTACTGTCTACAGGTAGAACAGTCAAGCTGATGGTTATCACACAGTTGCTTGTACTTGCTCTGATATCAGTTTGATATCTACTGTCCACAGGTTAAACAGCCAAGCTGATGGTTATCACACGGTTGCTTGTACTTGCTCTGATATCAGTTTGATATCTACTGTCTACAGGTAGAACAGCCAAGCTGATGGTAATCACACGGTTGCTTGTACTTGCTTTGATATCTGCTGTCTACAGGTAGAACAGCCAAGCTGATGGTTATCACACGGCTGCGTGTACTTGCTCTGATATCAGTTTGATATCTGCTGTCTACAGGTAGAACAGTCAAGCTGATGGTTATCACACGGCTGCTTGTACTTGCTCTGATATCAGTTTGATATCTGCTGTCCACATGTAGAACAGTCAAGCTGATGGTTATCACACGGCTGCTTGTACTTGCTTTGATATTGTTCTCTTCTCAGTTGATGATGATGATGATCAGCCTGGCCCAAGGCACCTAGCCATTAACCTGGCCCTAGGCACCTAGCTATTAGCCTGGCCCTAGGCACCTAGCCATTAACCTGGCCCTAGGTACCTGGCAGTTAGCCTGACCCTAGGCACCTAGCCATTAGCCTGGCCCTAGGCACCTAGCCATTAGCCTGGCCCTAGGCACCTGGCCATTAGCCTGGCCCTAGGCACCTGGCTATCAGCCTGGCCATCAGTCTGGCCCTAGGCACCTGGCTTTCAGCCTGGCCATCAGTCTGGCCCTAGGCACCTGGCCCTAGGCACCTGGCCCTAGACACCTGGCTATCAGCCTGGCCCTAGGCACCTAGCCATTACATTTTTTAATTTTGTTATTGGATGTCGTCTTGAGGATCTTGAGTTAAATTGTTATTTTTCATTCACCGTTGAAAGAACTGTTGGCATGTTGTGGTTTACAGCTGGGCTGCGATATCTGTGCGTTTCAATCCAGCACATTTGATTTCAGCAAACTCGTAATTTAAGAGAACATTGTGACAACTGGAAAGATCAGTGGAAAAAGGGGTAGAGGCAGACCAAGAGAGAGGATGCTGGATGGGCTGAAACAATGGCATAGGGGGGATATCATCAAGTTAGCTGTTCCAGGCAACCAGGGATCGTGATCTGTGGAAATACATGAACGCCTATACCAGTTGGCAGGGCACATGATGATGATGATGAAACTCCTAATTAGTTACCTTTGATAGCATGCTCACTTACATCCTCCAATGAACGTAAAATTGTGACAACAGAAATTAAATGCCTTAGAAGAGCTGCAGGAGTTTCAAGGAAAGACAGAATACAAAATCATAAAATCAGACGAATCAGGTCATCAAAGAACAACAAATGAAGTGGTTTGGACACCTAACAAGAATGCCCTGGGGGTAGTGAGTCTGTTCTTCATACCCCCAAAATGGGGCTACCACGGGGTCGGAAGGCATGGAAAAGTATCTTAACTTTTTTTTTTTCAACAGGTAAAGTAAAGTAAAGTAAAGTAAAGTAAAGGGAGGTGGTGTGAAATTTTCCCGCACCCTCTGAGTGCTGATTGTATATAAATAAAAATATAGGCTGACCTATTGTTGCTTGTCTTTGGCAGGTGCCGGGGACGATGCAGCCAGCTGTGCAGTGATGCTGGAGATGCTGCGGGTCCTCACTCACAGCTCTGTTTATATCATGCATAACATCATTTTCCTCTTCAACGGTGCTGAGGAGAACATGTTACAGGTTGGTGGAGTTATCCTTTTTTGTGCACCTTTGTGTTTCATTATAATATCATGCATAACATCCTTTTCCTCTTCAACGGTGCTGAGGAGAACATGTTACAAGTCGGTGGAGTTATCCTTTTTTGTGCACCTTTGTGTTTCATTATAATATCATGCATAACATCCTTTTCCTCTTCAACGGTGCTGAGGAGAACATGTTACAGGTTGGTGGAGTTATCCTTTTTTGTGCACCTTTGTGTTTCATTATCTAGCATTTGGTTTAATTTGAAGTTACATCTGATGGAACTTGCTATTGTAAGATGGAGTCGGGTCATCAGAAAGAATGAACACCTTTTCCATCTAGTGATGCTCTGGTCGATGATCTCAGATGTGTTATCAAAGAATTAACAAAATATTTAGACTGAGCTGAAATTAATTATCTAGGAGGGATCAAAGAGAATTTTTCTTGTGTGGGTTCTGGACCCCCGTTTGGTGGTGACGGCGGGGAAGAAGGTTGGGGGGGGGGGGGGGGTCTAGACTCATTGCACCCTATGGAGCATGTGATAACAGGCGGCTTGGTGAGGGTTAACTGAAATTAGAGTGATGGGCTGAAAGGTACAGACCTTGTGGGCTTGCACAATACAGTGTGTGAACTGACCTTTAAAGACAGATGCAGAAGAAGAATAATCATTCATGTCAATAATACTTCAAAGACGTTTCTCTATTCTTATTGAAAATCTGCGCCCACCATGAAGGTTCACTGAAGAGTGTCGTTGACGGACACTTGTCAGGGAAGAGACATACACAGCATGTGACAGGCAGACACTTGTCAGGAGAGATAAAGATGGCAAGAAACTCTGGAGATTAGCCAAATCACTCAATGAAGAGAGTTTCTCGCCTAGACAAACAATCACGCTAAGTGATGGTGACAAAATCTTCAGAGGAAAACAAGCTGCAGATTTGTTTGCCAAAACATTCAGTGTTGAAAGCAACCTGACCCTTAATGAGGACCATCAGAGAGAAATAAGGAAAGAAATACAAACAAGCAAACAAACAAATAAGAGACAGACAGATACTCCTGCCTCTATGAGGGAGCCATTTACCATGGGTGAACTACAAAATGCCATCTTTAGGCTTAAGTTAAAAAAGTCTGCAGGTCCGGATGAAATCAGCAACGAAATGCTAATCAACCTGACCTCATCTGCTAAAGTAAATCTGCTGGAAATTTTCAACATCAGCTGGGAGAAAGGTTTAGTGCCTCAAGTATGGAGAGAAGCCATCACAATACCCATTTTAAAAAAAGGAAAAATTAAGACACAGGCTTCGAGCTATCGCCCAATTAGTCTCACAAGCTGTGTAGGAAAGACATTGGAAAGAATTGTAAATTCAAGACTGAAATGGCACTTAGAATCTGAGCAGATCTTGGTGCCAGAGCAGGCTGGATTTAGGGAATGTCACAGCATAGAAGATCAAGTCACCTACCTGTCACAAGCTGTAGAGGATGCCTTCCAAGAGAAGAAAAAGGTCCTGGCGGTATGGGTTGACTTCAAACAAGCTTTTGACAAAGTCTGGAAAGATGGTCTCATTGCAAAACTGAAGAGAAATGGAATCCAAGGAAACATGCTAAAATGGATCCAATCCTTCTTACACAGCAGAAGAACTAGAGTCAGTCTTGATGCCAGCAGAGTAGAAAAGTGTTACTTCGGCAAGGAGTACCACAGGGAGGAGTTATCTCTCCAACTCTCTTTCTTGTGTATATAAATGATCTGGTGAAAGACCTCCCTACAGGAGTAAAAGCTGCCCCTGTATGCAGATGATCTGGCACTCTGGTGTACCGATGAACACACCACAGTGGCAAATATAAGAATGCAGCGAGCAGCAGATCTCTTGATGACATGGGCAGAAAAATGGCATGTTGCCATCAACACAGACAAAACATCCACAACGCTTTTCTCTCTTTCCACCAGGGACAAAGCTGCTAGTATTCACCTAGGAACATCCTTGCTAAAGGAAGAAAGCTTCCCCACTTATCTTGGAGTAACATTTGATAAAAGGCTCACATGGAGCAAACATATAGAAAATGTAGAAGGGAAGGCCAGGAGACGACTAGGCATACTTAGAAAATTGGCAGGTACAGGATGGGGAGCAAATGAAAAACCCTAAAGAAAGTTTATAATGGAGCGATAAGACCCCACTTGGAGTTTGGTGCAACAGCATGGTCAACAGCTGCTAATTCCCACCTACAATCGTTAGACAGAGTGCAAAATCAAGCTCTTAGACTCATCACAGGATCCATGAAAACTGCACCAATCCTGAAGATGCAGAAAATAACTGCAATGCAGACATTGTCCTATAGAAGAGACACTAAAACTATGATCCAGATGGAGAAGTTTAATAGTATGCAGTCACACCCATGAATAAAAGGTTAGATGATCTGGCATTAGGGCGTCTCAAACGTAGCAGCTTTGTCCATCGGGGGAAAAGACTTAGAAGACAGTACCAAGCTGATCTACCTATTAGAACAACACCGCTGAAACCTACCCTATACCCTGTACCTTGGAGCAAGTCAGTGATACAATACAGATAATGACTTCAGTCAATGGATTCACAACTGGAGATGAGTCCAATGATCTTCAAAAACGAACAGCTGCTCTTAGCATGATTCATGAAAACTATCCCGAACAGTCATGGATACATATTTACACAGATGGATCAGCAACCAGCGCGGTTAAAAATGGGGGTGCTGGAGTCTTTATTACATACCCAGGCAACCACCGCCACACAAAGTGATACCCACTGGTAAATTCTGTTCCAACTACACAGCAGAGATTGTAGCACTAGAGCAGGCTGCCGAAATGTTACACAACACCAGTTCTGACTGCCACCAAGTGGTTATATTCACAGATGCGCTTTCAGTGCTTCAAGCCCTCAAGAGTGGCAAACTCCCTCACTTGAGATCTAAACTTGGCAAGGTGGCTGCCCAAAAGTGTACTGTACTCCAGTGGGTGCCATCCCACTGTGGTATACCAGGAAACGAAACCGCAGATAAACTTGCTAAAAAAGGGGCAGAATGTGACCAAGAAGAGAATGCAGTAACATACTATGAGAAGAAAAGGGCCATCCAGGCTATCAGAAGTGAACAGAGTCTGGCCAGAGATGACTACCACTTACTTGACCGGCATGGGCAGGTCATTGTCCTACGTCTCAGGACAGGACATAACAAACTTAACCAGCATATGCACAGGCTTCGTCTAAGTAGTTCACCTTTTTGCCCTTGTGGGCTATGTGTGCAGACTACAGAACATGTCCTGCAAGACTGTCCCTTGTTCAGCCCATTAAGAAAGGAATACTGGCCCAGTGAGTCACCACTGTACACAAAGTTGTATGGGACTAAAAATGAACTCATTAAAACAGTCAAGTTTATCACAAGAACCTGTCTGTCGGTGTAAATCAGAAAGCGAACACAAGAAGAAGAAGGAGAGAGACATACACAGCATGTGACAGGCAGACGGACACTTGTCAGGAGAGAGACATACACAGCATGTGACAGGCAGACAGACACTTGTCAGAAGAGAGACATACACAGCATGTGACAGGCAGACGGACACTTGTCAGGAGAGAGACATACACAGCATGTGACAGGCAGACAGACACTTGTCAGGAGAGAGACATACACAGCATGTGACAGGCAGACACTTGTCAGGAGAGAGACATACACAGCATGTGACAGGCAGACAGACACTTGTCAGAAGAGAGACATACACAGCATGTGACAGGCAGACACTTGTCAGGAGAGAGACATACACAGCATGTGACAGGCAGACACTTGTCAGGAGAGAGACATACACAGCATGTGACAGGCAGACAGACACTTGTCAGGAGAGAGACATACACAGCATGTGACAGGCAGACAGACACTTGTCAGGAGAGAGACATACACAGCATGTGACAGGCAGACACTTGTCAGGAGAGAGACATACACAGCATGTGATAGGCAGACAGACACTTGTCAGAAGAGAGACATACACAGCATGTGACAGGCAGACACTTGTCAGGAGAGAGACATACACAGCATGTGACAGGCAGACAGACACTTGTCAGGAGAGAGACATACACAGCATGTGACAGGCAGACACTTGTCAGGAGAGAGACATACACAGCATGTGACAGGCAGACAGACACTTGTCAGGGGACAGACATACACAGCATGTGACAGGCAGACAGACACTTGTCAGAAGAGAGACATACACAGCATGTGACAGGCAGACAGACACTTGTCAGGAGAGAGACATACACAGCATGTGACAGGCAGACAGACACTTGTCAGGAGAGAGACATACACAGCATGTGACAGGCAGACGGACACTTGTCAGGAGAGAGACATACACAGCATGTGACAGGCAGACGGACACTTGTCAGAAGAGAGACATACACAGCATGTGACAGGCAGACAGACACTTGTCAGGAGAGAGACATACACAGCATGTGACAGACGGACACTTGTCAGGAGAGAGGCATACACAGCATGTGACAGGCAGACACTTGTCAGGAGAGAGACATACACAGCATGTGACAGGCAGACACTTGTCAGGAGAGAGACATACACAGCATGTGATAGGCAGACAGACACTTGTCAGAAGAGAGACATACACAGCATGTGACAGGCAGACACTTGTCAGGAGAGAGACATACACAGCATGTGACAGGCAGACGGACACTTGTCAGGAGAGAGACATACACAGCATGTGACAGGCAGACGGACACTTGTCAGAAGAGAGACATACACAGCATGTGACAGGCAGACAGACACTTGTCAGGAGAGAGACATACACAGCATGTGACAGACGGACACTTGTCAGGAGAGAGGCATACACAGCATGTGACAGGCAGACACTTGTCAGGAGAGAGACATACACAGCATGTGACAGGCAGACAGACACTTGTCAGAAGAGAGACATACACAGCATGTGACAGGCAGACACTTGTCAGGAGAGAGACATACACAGCATGTGACAGACAGGC